TATATGAACATATATACTTTCAGCAAAATTGAATATCAATGCAGTCTATATTAAAAAAACCATAAAACTATATATTGAAAGATATAATCAGATACAATAACAGTGCATGGAAAAAATGAACAAGAAGATTAATTATAACTTATTAGTATAAAAACAAGATTGTATAAATAATACAATACTGTGACTGTATTTTTCTCTTAGGACTGATTTATTTTACCCCAAATATTTATTGAAAACAGAAATGAATAAACTACAGAGTAGGATTGCCAATTTTCAGAGTAACAAATTCCAAATACAGTGCAAAAAAAACATTAACTTGGAAAAACTGATGAGCAAAAGAAAACCTACAAATAAACTTGGAAGTATTTTTTCCTTCTCTTGATGATTATGATCATGATGAGACAGCCAGATGGCTGAGGCAATTAAGGCATCAGCTCTACCATTTTGAGACTCCATGATCAAATCTCAAATCCAGCCAAACAATCCCAGGAAGTTTCATGAGTGGTCCATTCTGAACTTATCAGACCCTGTCCCTCCCCACCCTGGCCACACCCACGTTAGTTATGATTAAAAAGAAAGAAGCTTTTGAAAGAAACTTTGTGTCTGCAGGGAAGAAAGAGAAAAAAATTGGAAAAAATACAAATTAGCAAGAACTAAAATAATTCAGATCACAGTTAAAGGTACCAACTTCTCATCAGGAAAAAGGAACAAGTTAAAAAAAATCTCATTTATTACTTTCAAACATTTTGGAACAGTTTTATTTTTCTGAACAATTTTTAAAAATAACTGAAATTCTGTAATTTGGAAAATTCCAAACAGTTGGCAATCCTACTCTAGACTAGGTAGAGAATACATCTGCATCATCTACAGTAACCAGATTCCACAACATCTGAATTATCTGGCTCCAAAATTATACAGGAGAAGAAAATAATAACAATAATAAATTATTGATGTGGAAAATATTTTTGCATTTTAATCTAATTTTTGAAGATTAATTATATTTGTGTATACAATTGATTTTGCTTGAGAATATTTTGAATTTATATTAAACTTTCATTATATTTTATATGTCTACTTTTATAAATAAGCAGAATAAATATAAAGATAACCCACTTATTTACAATTTGCAAATGTTTCTATTTGATATAAATTTCTTTTTGAGATTTATATCAATTTGCAAAACAGAAAAATAAAAATGTAATAATAGATATAAAATAGAATAATTTAGAACTTATTGTTTTCACATATAAAAATGTAATCAATTTTACAATTTTATATATTATTGTTAATTTATATGTTAAATATAACAATAAAATACATTTATGTTCATATATTGATAAATAATCAAAATCATATAAAAACATTGCATTTTGTAAATAAAGTGCTATCAAAATAACAGTAATTATTTTCTAACAAATCTACCATACCATCTGATTTTACATTGCCTTTTCATTCTGATTAAAAACAGATATAGAAACATTTTAAAATTATTATGTTTGGAAAGCTATTTTTTTGCCAATATAATATTATTTTTTACTTACAAGGGAACTGTCGGAGTGGCATCTAATAAATTTTAATAAAATTTAGTTAATAGTTACGTTAAAAGTATACAAACTCTATATTAAATTTGTAGTATTCACTAAAAGAGTTAATCAGAGTTATTAGCAATCAAATGTCGTACTATTTTATATGCGGATTTTTAAAAGTGAAAGGGTCGCGGAGGAAGACGGCGATATTACATTTAGAATAAATTCTGGAATTTTCGAAAATGGGAGAAGAATTAATAACATTTAGTTAATAATTATGTTAAAAGCATGCAATCTCTATATTAAATCTGTAGTACTTACTAAAAGTATTAATCAGGATTAATAACTATTAAATGTCGTACTATTTTATAGTAGTTTAATACNCAAACTACTACTACAATAATTTCCTTTCAGTTAATAATTAGGATAAATGTTAATCACTGAAAGAAAATATTATTATTTTTTAGTACATATTATTAGTACATAATATGTATTTAAAATAATATCTGGTATATCATCATCATCATCACCAAATCTATACTTTATTTGTAAGTATTCTATTCCAGCTTGCTGATAAATGCAACTGCTAAGATTTATTTAATGTAAAATTTTTATCTATTGTATAAGAGAAGACAATAGAAAACAAATTTATAGTAATGACATGAAACAATAATATAAATTTACTGTATAACTGTTGAGCACCTTCTAGATATGTTTTATGTGCAAACTTGCCTATAGGAAATTGACTAAATTGACTGCAAAGTTTATCTACTCACAAGCTTAATGTTATCTAAATTCAAAACTGCAGACAGGAAATTATATGAAGTAACAAACTGAAATAGCAAAAGTTTCATTTAGACATAAATTTCCCCATTCAACATATATTGTGATGAGTTTATGATCTGTAAATTGAGTTATTGTAAAATAACAGCATGCTATAAGTAAATGTGCTATTATTTGTAATAACTTTACAATAGAATACACTGTATATACAGTGTATTCTACAGAGTTAGGGCTACATGAATGAAATTTTCAAAGTATGGATGTTAAATGCTCTAACTGATATAGTAAAAAATAATCATTACAGTTATATTCACATTAATAATTAATACATATTGCAGAGTTTCCAATCTGAGAAAAATCAAATTGACTGACAAGGTGAGCTAAAGGGGCTGACAAATGAAAGTTACCTTACTCTAATTAGAATAAAACTCATTCTGAATGTGTTTTAACTCCCTTTCCACACAAGGTGCAGAAAGGAGTTAATGGAAAAGAAAAAAGAAATATATACACTTTCAATATGATAAAAAGATGCAGAACTTTGTTGGAAAGTAGAGATACCAAATGGAGACCATCTATTTATATCATTTTTAAAACCATTGTTAGTCAACTGATATTTTTTTCTAACTAATCACAGTAAAAGATTTAAAATTTTAAAAAGGAGTAATTTTTAAAATTAAATACAAAATTGGTTATAGTAGAAATTTTCCAGCCAATAAAAAGCGTAATTTCAATTTCCAAACATTCAATGGGTGGAAATCCAAAGAGATCAGAAATCATTTAACTGTTGATACTGGAATCAAAATTAATGAATTTTATTTGTAATCTAAATTTTTAAATTTTAAAGTTTGTTAGTATTGGCCATTAAATTAATTAACTTTGTAAATTTTGGTATTAATTTCTGATATCAGTAATATCAAATGCTGTCCTTCTGTCAAGAAATGATCCTGTCTGCTGATACTACTGACCAGACAATAGAGTAGTTTACAAGTATAACAGGAAGTAGTTCTCATTTGACACTGAAGAATATTAAAAGAAAGAGCAGTCATGGAAATTATTAAAAACACTCAAAAACAATAAGAATGGATATTTCTGGAAAGCAGGCTACAGGACAAATGGTTGTCATGTACAATGTAAGGTAGATGAGTTTTTTCTTAAAATTCAGATCGCATACTAGCATACATATTAAGCAATGCTTAAACCATAAGTCTAAATTTATAGATCATTAATTAAAGTAACTAACATAATTCACGTCTCATTTCTATGAGTATTTGCTTGCAAAGCATTTGATGTTGATCTAGCTTGTAATGTTATTTTAATGCAATATTTTGTGTAATTTGCTATTTTATATTTTTAAATTAGTCTAAATAAACATTGTTAATTTTAAATAGAATGGATCTGATACTACTGATACTTACTGATACTAAATGTTTTAAATTTTATGAAACAAAACACTTCATTGTGATATCAATATATTTATTTATATAATACTGTTAGGTTTATGTATTAATTTCTAAACAGTTTTTTGCATTCTTTTATTTGCTCTTAATAAAATAAAAATGTCCATAATTCCAGTAATTCTTTATACTTTTTTATGGGATTATTGAATTTGTAATTTCATATATATGTGATACTGAAAATATATTAGTTTTAATTGTCAAAAAAAGAAACAGATTTATTTGGAGAAGTTCTTCAAAAATTTGGTTTTATTTGTAATGGGAGCTACCGTAGCTTATTACTACATATTTCCTTTAGCCTGGAAGTTTTTCATTGCTTTTGAACATATAATCTTTACACTGTTGACAATAGTCTTCCAAAACATTTTATATGTGTAATACCATCTTAGTCTAAACAAATTAAACAAAAATTTTCATTTTAAAATTTTTAGTAAAGGTTTTTCTGTGAAAAGGCAATTATCTATCAGATGTAATTATATAAATAATCTAAACTTATAATTCTGTAAAATAATATTAATACTTTTCTCATGGCATTAATATGTAATTAATAATTTTGTATTTTGTGTATTTACAATAAGTATTTCATTCAAAATTTAAACATAAATAATTGACATTATCTTAATAAAATTGCATTTAAAATAACAAATTATTGTTTATTTGAACATTTTTGTAGACTGAAAACTTAAATAATTCTTCAAATATAAACAGAAGAGTATAAAATCTTAACTTGATACTTATTTTCTATATACTTAAAGAGCAACTCTGAAAATATGCAAGTAAATAATAAATACTTCTGTTAAGATAATATTAATTATTTTTAAATTTTGGGTGAAAATACTATACAAAGTTTATATTTGTAGAATATTTTCACCATTTGTTTACATGTCATTCATATACAAGGTCTGTTCAAAAAATATCGGACCTTTTTTTTTTCCGCGTAAACCAATGATGCGCGAGAGGCCTCCTTCAGTGGAGTTGTGGAGAGGACAGTCATGCACAGCCCTGAATTTTTTCCCGCCTGCAGGAAGCGTCAGTCATTGGCAATCGGCCTATGAGTGAGGTCATGTAGTGTGCTCTCGTCGGATTCCACTAAGCTGGAAAATGACTGAACAACGTGAGCAGCGATATTACATCAAATTTTGCCAAAAACCTTGGCGATACCCGAGTGTAAACCATTCGCAAGATTCAGCAGGCTTTCGGGGACGATCCTCGAGGCCAAAAAAAGCGCGGCAGGTCCGCAGCAATATCAAAGGTCATGTTGACAGTTTTTTCGACTCTCGTGGGGTGGTGTGTCGTGAGTACGCACCACAAGGCCAAACCATCGCAAAGGAGTACTACCAGGAGGTCCTTCGTCGTCTTTCCGATACAGTGCGATGCAAACGACGGGATCTGTGGTCGATCAAAACTTGGCAGCTCCATCGTGATAACGCATCCGCCCATTCTGCGCATCTGATTCGGGCTTTCGTCGCCAAACACAATACTCCTGTGGTTCGTCACGCTCCGTACTCTCTCCACATGGCTCCGTGTGACCTTTGGCTATTTCTCAAGCTGAAAATGCCGCTAAAAGGAACCCAAATTTAGTCGAGAGAAGACATCATGCGAAATGCGACGGACCGGCTGATAACCATTCCAAAAGATGCATTCCAGCAGTGTTTCCAGCAATGGCAGGAACGCTGGGAGAAGTGTATACATTACCAAGGAGACTACTTTGAAGGGGATTAGGGTTTTGTACCTCAAAGTCAATAAATTTATTTTTGCCAACCAAAGGTCTGATACTTTTTGAACAGACCTTGTATAATAAGTAAATAATGAAACTATTTATTAAGAAAATGAAAAATATTCTATTCAAAAGCATTTCAGATAAAAATATAGAGTTTTACAAAAATAAATATCTTATTTTTAATATATATTCTTACTAATACAAAGCTAATCCAAAAATTTTGAAAATAATGTTTCTGAATAAAATATTTTAAAAATTATCTTAAATATAAATATATTACATAGATAGCAGTTTATTTAAAAAGTTTATTTATTCATACATATAAAAAATATTTTCTATATTCAAAAATAAAAATTCAAATGCTTACAATATTAACTATAAGTAAATAGATATACTGTAAAATAATTACATTAAATTATATCATTATTATTAAAATATTAACTTACAGGAACATCAGCATAAACCCCTGTCCATATAACAGGATGTAGACCTGATAATACAATTGGTCTACTCATTACAGGAACATATTTCTATAAAATTTATTAAAAACTAATTTTTAAAATGTTTTCCTAATTTTTATATATATTATATAGAACAATATATAATTTCATCTAACACACTACAAAAGTAACTGACTTGAACTTCTTCCTTTACTTCAGTAAATCTTGCTACATGAGTAAAATATCCTGGAAAACAAAATTTGTTATGTAGAAAAGTATGCATACAAAATCTAAAATGTATTTATTTCATATACTTTAAATGTATACTTTATTTCATTATTAATCATGAAATGAGAATATAGATTCATTCAATAAACTTTAAATTCCATAAACGGATAATAAAAGAGCAAGTAAATCAAACTTTTATTGAGTGGCCCACTAAGATAATCTTGGGGCTGAGCTGAATGGACAAAAAAATTTTTTATGTGAACTCAATAAAATTCCCATCTTATGTGACTGCTAATTCCATAAATAATATATAAATAAAAAATGAATTTTAATTAGGAAAATATTTTTGGAAAATTTACTAGTGTTTCTTTTTCTTTTACTTTGAGGGTGCCAGAGCCCTCTTGGTCCACTCTCTGGGTGCACCACTGTTTTTATTGTGGTAAATGATCTTAATGCAACCATTTTCAACTATTTAAATAAATGTTATCAGATTTAAAAATTGAAAATAAATTTAAAAAACCAAATAATATAGTCTCAAACATAAATTTAAAAAGAGGCAAAGGACAAATTAAAATGAGTATGCAAAATAAAACTGACAAAAATAATCTATATACAAAGTTATAATGAATATTTTAATAATATAAGAATAAAATACAAATATAATTAGAATATTAGAGCACAAACATTCTCTAATGTAATCTAGCCTTCTTGGAATTGCAGTAGTGTCAGATTACTAAAACTCTGGATTACCAAACCCATTTATTTTTACTAGATTTACTTAAAGATATGCTTTAAATGATTCAAAATTATTTTTTATATTATGTGTATTGTTTTTTTACCTTTTGTTTTTTTTATTTTCTTCAGTTAGTCTTAATACAATTCATGAATATTGCAAATAAATATATTATTGCACAAAAAAGCAATCCTGTAACTGTGAATAAATCATTGGGGCTAGAGGGCAAACTGAAAAAATTGTGACTGGTAGTTTTTTCCAGCCAGCTTTAGACCTATTAGCTGAAGTTGTGTAAAAATAAATAACAGTAGCTTAAATTTGCATGATAAAAGCAAAATCATATAATATATATATATATATATATATATATATACTGCTTACGGGCACTTACTAAGCTGAAGGTATTTAGCTCCCCATAGCTATGGGTCTAACAAAAAGTCAAAAACATATGTGCATTCACTTAAATTGCATTCACAAACAGTGATGTAACTCAATTGTCAAGAGCCAGGTGACTTAATGTCATGGAGATAATGCAACATATTATCCCCATTATGAGACAGTAATATGAGAAGTTATTAAAAGCAACACTTTAGATTTATCATATTTTTTCAGGTCAGAACTTTGAGTGTCAATTGGATGCTTGATTACTCCAGTCACCATGAAAGTTATGCCAATGCTCACATGTATGGATACTCTATGAGTTATAGTGATAATAATAAGAGGCAAAGTTGTACAAAGTTATTATGCAATCATTATATTGCATAACTGTTTTGCATAAGTATGGTGACTTTTAAATCACTTTGTAGATTTCAAATAGATTTATATATGTACTGTGATTTGCATGTTAATTAATTAATCTATTAATTAACTTTTCACTTTCTCCTACTGAATGTATAGTACAAAGCATATCTTTCTTAATATTTATTAAATCCTAAAGTTAGAACTATTTTGTAAACATAAAAATTTACACCTTTCTCTCAATTTCCAGCATTCACTATTTAAAAAACAAACGTTTTCAGATACATTCAGTGGCCTGCATCAGATTAAACAGATTCTATATCAAATGTCTATAGTGGACTTGAAGGCTTTGAACCTGCTATAGATGTTTGATATAGAATCTGCTTAACCTGATGCAGACCACCGAATGTAGATGAAAACATTCATTTTTTAAACAGTGAATGCTAGAAATTGAGAGGAAGGTGTAAATTTTTGTGCTTTCTTAATATATTGTTATTCAATTATATATATTAAATTTAAAATAATTAAGAAATTACCTTTGTTTTCACAAGCCATCCAATTTACTTCACGTATTTCTGTTACTTCTATTCCTACTAAATAAGTGAACACCCTTACCTAAGTCAAGTAGATTAAGAACATCAAGCAAATTACAATCAAAATTTTTAAAATTATATAAAAACTATAGATTTTAGCTCCTAAACTTTAGAACAGGAAATAATTGCATTATTGAAATATTTCAATTATCTAAAAATTTTTGTCAGTATTATACAACCGAAACATATATCAAAAATTACTTATGAAAAACAGTTGAAATATAGTTTATATTATTATATTTAAAATATAATATACAGCACTTTATAAATTATTTTCTACATATCATTATTGTAATCAAAAGATATATTGTATTTTGAATGGCTTTTAAATTTAAAACATTTAGATATCTATTAGGAAATATGGGACAAGAAAAAATACATAAAATTTAGTAAAACTTTCAAAAATCAATATTCATAAAAAATGTTCTAAGTTTTTAATTTATATATATTAAGCTTAAAACAAGGCAATTGAGTAATTGAATTATGATAACTGCCTTATAGCTTTCATGATCTGATAAGTATTTTTGAATTATTTAGAAACTAATATTTTTTTTAATTTAACTAAATTTATAAATTTCAGAATTTAAAGATCAGAATGAAAAAAACAATTTTCATCTAAATAAAACTGCTTTGTTTTGTTGTCATGTGACATATTTAAACTGGAAAAAATACAAAAGTCATAGTTTTTCAAAATTTTTTTCAGGATTTTTATTTATTCAATTAGTGAAGTTTGAAATATAATATATATTCTTATAATTTAATTATAAGAATATAATATATATTCTTATTATTTAAAATAAACAATGTTTTATTTTATCATATTTAAATTATCTCTAAATATATTTAGTACTTATTAAAATAAGAAATTTTTAAAAATTCTCTGACTATATATTAAAAAATAATAATAAACTTACTGGTATATTTGGCCAGTTATATTTACGAAATATATCTTCGTATGTCTGAGGTGCTCCATCTGTTACTAACATTATAGCCTGATTACATTGACTTCCCAATTTGGATTTATTATACTGGAACAATTATTATATAAATAAATATCGTAAAGTGAAAAATTACTATCTAATTAGCAAAAATCATGTAAAATTTGTTTTATTTCATATATTATGTTAAAAATTTATTATGATAAGTAAAAACTTTATAATACTTCTGAACTTGATATAAAAAGTAGTTTTTATAAACGTGGATAATTATGTGTTGATTTAATACTGATTTGATAGCAGATAATCATTAAACAGATTATTCAAATTGAGAATAACTTCTCTTGAAATAATTTTGAAAGATAAAAATCAATCTAAAAGTTTGTTAATAGTGGATTAACAATTTGTTAGGTCACTAGTTCATAAAGACTGGGACTTGAGATAATTTCTATAGAACACAATATAATAATTAATATTGTTTACTTCAAGTACAACACCCACACATACTTGATAATCTATTCACTAATTTTAAAACAATATAGCATTAAAATACTGATGACTTCATTAGTATTACTGTATTACATTTTAAGTCATTATCATAACTACAATGATAACAAGACATTATATCATCAAAATTTGATTTTATTTAGCAGTATTTTTGTGTTATTCTACTTTACTTTCACCTAAATATTATAAACTTGACAATATAATTGATTTTGAAATGACTATTAGAAATTCGTTCATAACACCCACTTTGTTAGTAACTGTAAGGGTTTTTATATTTTAAATTATAAAGAGAGTCTTTTCAATTGTTTTTATACAAGTTTAAATTTTTTATAATGTAAAGAAAAAAAGCATGCTACATGCATGGTGACATGGTGAGGATGTATCTTTTAAAATTGATAAAAATTTAAAGTAAAATTAAAAAAACCTAAATCTTATTTTTTATTTCTTTGTTTCAAGAAAATAATTGGCAAGATTGACTTATGTAATTTTACTAATATTCCACTGTTTTCTATTAGGAAATATTTATATCGCTGTTTAGTTCATAAAGTAGTCCAAAATATTTACAGAATATCATAGAATTAAGTCAAATGCAAAATTTTCAGATTTTTGCATAGTTTCTTCTACAAACTCGTATTTTCTTATTTATTTTCAGATGGATAGTCATTTTCACTGACATGACAGAATAGACATCTTTGGAATATCCAGCTATATTTAAATACAGTAGACCCCCTATAAAACTGGTTCATATAGTTCGGATTCCTATATGATGGCAAAAAAATTGCGACTGTATTCATATAAACACGCTAAAAGAGACTTGTATAATTCAGTAAAACGTCATTGCCGACTCATGTCGTGACAGGATTGGTTGAATCTAGACCAATAGCAGATATTGCACAAACCGTTGAGTTTAAACAAGCAGCAGACCTACTAAAAACAATTTATTATTTAATGGCCATAAAAATTATATTTATATTAATGATGTCTCCAAAGTTCAGCAAAGTTTTTGCAGAAAAATAATTTATCAGGAAGCACGTGAGCGCCATTCGATGCACTGCTCCACGTCAAAAACAAGCTTAAGCAATGGTGTCATTGAACGGTGCACACTCGGTAAGTAATCCTACAATTTTTTGTTTATAGCATAGTTTATATGGATTATTCCCAAAAAATTATACGTATTTTGGAAATGTTGAGTCAAATTAATCTAGAATCGATTAATTTTAAGGAAGAAAACCTTTCAAACAGCCGTAGTCCGTAAATTGCATACGTCCGGGCTGTGATTGGTTCATGTATTTAAGAACTCATAGAACATCAATTTCATAAAGAACGGAATGTATCTACTGTGTTATGGAGGGGGGATCGACTGTATCTTATTAAAAGTAAAACCTATGATTACCAAGAAATGATGAATGATAGGAGTCTTGACTCATAATTATTTTTCAAGTGATAAAGTAGGTAAAACTTTAATCAATAAATTGTCACAAAACATCTGTGTCCTTAAGATAAATATAGAACCATCACAAACCCTATCTGCAAATAATCATTCTGTATGGACTTGTGTGTCTATTGATGGCAAAGTTATTTATTTATCTGGATGTTCTCAATTCTTTCTACACTGTGGGCACTAAGAGGGCCTCTTTTAGCAAGCCCATTATGGGTTTGGCCAGGCCCACAATGGTGCATGTGGCCAGGTGGTGAGGGAAGGCCAAACATATCCGGATGGACCATCCCTCTGAAAAATTTCTGGAAATATCAACGCCATTCAGATTTGAACCTGGGTCCTCCAGAGCATGGGGTTGCTACCTCGACTGCTCAGCCATCTGGCCGTCAAAGTTGGATATATGGTACTGTATATGCATGGCTAGTTACCCATTCTCATCTTAAATTTTCATCACATGGAAATAAATAATTATTTAACTGAAACAGTTGAATATACAGACAATCTTGATGCATCATGTTTTTATGTCCATTGCATACAGCTTCAAACCACTTATAAAAAACTCTCTGGCTATTGTGGCAACCATCCACTGCACAATATCTTCCTGAACTGGTCTTAAGGCATGTCACCAATGAAAAACTAAAAATTGCAGATCTATACTAACAACTAGCAGTATCTTAATGGCTGTCAAGAAATAGCCTATGTCTTCATGTGGCAGAAATCAAAAACACATTCTGGAAACTTGTGGTTATAATTAAATAAATAAAAAATCACACTTTTATATAAAATATAAAAATTAATTGCTTACTCTTTGTAATAGTTCAAAGGCTGTCGTTAAACTTGAAGTGAAATTTGCAACATTTGAAGTATTCACATTTTCTAAATGGTCCTTAAATACCTTCAAAAGAAAATTGATAATTTTATTATTACTTATAGATTTGTTCATTTCTATTAATACCATACAATAATTATAAAATAGAATAAAACGTCAGCTTTAACATTGTACTTTTCACATTTCTCAGCTACTTTTATCTGAAGTTTATTAATAACATTGCATATTGTATGACATTTCTTGTGGCAAAAGAAAAAGAACTTTTATATTCATTTGAAGAATATGTTATTTTCATGTGTCCTATATTATTCTAAAATAATATAACCTGATAATTTTTTAACATATCCAACAGGTGTTTAAAAAGTCAATGAAAGATAGTCTTAATTTTAAGTATAGGTAACTAAATCTTAATAACTAAAGAGTATGTTCGATTTTCTGCAAAAACACAAAACATCGCATCTAAAATAATACAGTAAAGCTGAGTTATATAAAATAATCCTTAACCCTCTCCCTCTCCTCTGTGGGGATAATTTCCAAAAATCCCTTCTTAGTGTGCATTCTCAAGGCATATCCTACTAAAATGCAGTCAAAAATGCAATAAATAAATAAAAGTATTAAAGTGTTTATTGAATTTTAACTGAATAAGTCTTTAGTATTCAAAAAGACTTTTTTATTTAAATAACCTATAAAATAAAAAAATCAGAAAATTTTTCATTATAATAGAGAATTAACTTACTTGATGTAACTTTACTTGAATTATATGGTTGGTTTTAAATTCTAAAATCTAAAAAGACTTATTTGAAACTTTATATTTCCAATTCAATATTTTGAATTTTCCGAATTTAGAATGAATTCAAATGCTTGTTCAAATTTGTTTATTTTGGATTTATTGTTTTTGAGTTACCTGAAAGGTGGAAATTATCAAAATATCTATTAATTGCCAAAATATACATTATATGTGCCACTATTTACTTTTCTTCTTTATTATTTACACTTTATACTGACTAAAACTAACTCTCTCCTTCTCTTCCCTCGAGGAGGGTTGGAATTTCCAAAAATCCTTGTTTAGTGTGCATTCTCATGATGTACCCTACTAAAACACAGTTAAAAACAAAAAATTGCATCTAAAATAGTACAGTAGAAGACATTCTTCAGGTTAAGCATTAATCCTCTCCCTCCCCTGTGCAGGAATTTCCAAAAATCCCTTCTTAGTGTGCATTCTCATGGCATACCCTAACTGTGTATCAAATTTCATCTTTCAATTCCTAACTGTTTGGGCTCTGCACTTATTATTATCATTATCAACCCATCTCGATTATATTATAAAATACATCTCATTATCATTTTTACTCAGTGGTGTAACTAAGATTTTGCTCTGGGGTAATCTGGGAGGATGATCTAAAAACATACAATACAAATGAGGAAAAATTAAGTGTTAGTGTTGCAATGAATAGTATATTCGGCCTCAGGCCGAATACCGAATATTCNGTGTTTATTGAATTTTAACTGAATAAGTCTTTAGTATTCAAAAAGACTTTTTTATTTAAATAACCTATAAAATAAAAAAATCAGAAAATTTTTCATTATAATAGAGAATTAACTTACTTGATGTAACTTTACTTGAATTATATGGTTGGTTTTAAATTCTAAAATCTAAAAAGACTTATTTGAAACTTTATATTTCCAATTCAATATTTTGAATTTTCCGAATTTAGAATGAATTCAAATGCTTGTTCAAATTTGTTTATTTTGGATTTATTGTTTTTGAGTTACCTGAAAGGTGGAAATTATCAAAATATCTATTAATTGCCAAAATATACATTATATGTGCCACTATTTACTTTTCTTCTTTATTATTTACACTTTATACTGACTAAAACTAACTCTCTCCTTCTCTTCCCTCGAGGAGGGTTGGAATTTCCAAAAATCCTTGTTTAGTGTGCATTCTCATGATGTACCCTACTAAAACACAGTTAAAAACAAAAAATTGCATCTAAAATAGTACAGTAGAAGACATTCTTCAGGTTAAGCATTAATCCTCTCCCTCCCCTGTGCAGGAATTTCCAAAAATCCCTTCTTAGTGTGCATTCTCATGGCATACCCTAACTGTGTATCAAATTTCATCTTTCAATTCCTAACTGTTTGGGCTCTGCACTTATTATTATCATTATCAACCCATCTCGATTATATTATAAAATACATCTCATTATCATTTTTACTCAGTGGTGTAACTAAGATTTTGCTCTGGGGTAATCTGGGAGGATGATCTAAAAACATACAATACAAATGAGGAAAAATTAAGTGTTAGTGTTGCAATGAATAGTATATTCGGCCTCAGGCCGAATACCGAATATTCGGCCAGGAGCGTGGCTGAATAGCCGAATATTCGGCCAAACTATTCGGCTCGATTAACGCACGTATGAAAATTGGTGCACAAACCGCATTATGGTAAGGACCCTGCTCTCTATTGGCCCGCTGCCAACAATCATGTTAATTCTTGACAGTTGTAGCGGACAGACAAGAGCGTCATGGCAGTATGTGATAAATGATGATATCAAACGTGGATAACAATGAAATGACCTACATGTGTAAATAACAGAAAAAGAACAGAGAAGGACAGCGAAGTGAAAATGTGAAAATAAATATGAAGTTGAGTTGATAACATAATCGAACAAGTCGAGGCAGCTTATTGGCATGAAATTCACCGGCTGTCAATGCCAAACAATTGTTGTCATAGACTTCGGTAAGCTAAATGCTTTAATGATACGGCCCCAGGATTCGCCCATGCATGGGCGTAAGCCTGGGGCTGTTCGGGCTACCAAGCTGTCTCGAATCTGTGAAATCATAACTATGACTTATACTGGCATTCTATCTGTCTCTTTTCTCCGTTATCACCAGGCTATGAGTCACGTGATTGTAAAATGGAAAATCTATGACGGAAAAGTGACGAATTGAAAGTATCGTGAGCGCGTATTATATAGACTAGAGTGATAGAGGAAAGAGAAAGGGAAGAGCGCTTAAAAAGAAGGATAGGCAGGGTCAGACCTCAGATGTACGACGATTCTTGAATGAATAGGTGTGTACTGTGCTAATCTTTGTAATTATAAATTGTGAATAAATGTGACTAATATTATTTTCTTTTTCATTTTGTGCATGTTATAAGTTATAAATAAATATAAACAAACAACACTAACCCGATAACATTAAATCTAAATACCAAAATGATTAATTTACTGTGTTTTTGTTATTTTTTACTCCAGTTTTTAGGTATTCGGCCGAATAGTGATTAAATATTCGGTATTCGGTCGAATAGCGAAAAATAGGNTATAAATAAATATAAACAAACAACACTAACCCGATAACATTAAATCTAAATACCAAAATGATTAATTTACTGTGTTTTTGTTATTTTTTACTCCAGTTTTTAGGTATTCGGCCGAATAGTGATTAAATATTCGGTATTCGGTCGAATAGCGAAAAATAGGACGAATATCGAATAGTAACCGAATATTCGTTACATCACTATTAAGTGTCCCTTACCCCTTGTTGCCTACAAATGAGCATCCCTTACATATCCACCAGACAAATTTCCAATGCATCTAGAAGGAAACTCCAAGAACAAACTTGATATCCTAACTATGATCTTTCTTTTAGAACAGTCCACAGTCACATAGTTTAAGTAATAGATTGATAACAAAGCATTCATTTTTTTATTATAATAAAAAATGAAATAATTGATTTATTTAATGAATAATTCAATATTATTTTAGATTTGTTGTTTAAGATGACATTCTTTTTAGTTTTATTCATTAGTTAGTTCAAATTTTATTCCTAAAGCCTCTAGGGAGATCCAACACCCATATAACCCTTCACATATCATCATAAGTATGAAACAGTTTCTACCAAACAATTAAAGACAATTGTTAAATAATTTTCTTTAATCATTTAATTATAGATTTATAGTCATTCATTATTATACATTAAAATTTATCCTTATAAAAATTTTTAATTATAAATTATGATATATAATAATAAATTAATCTCAAATACAGTTATTAATATCAAAAATATAATTTTAAGAAACTGGATTTTTGAGAACTAACTGAATTGCTAGGATATAAATTAATGCTTAACTTTTTATACCTGGTTAAAACACAAGTACAGTAGAACTAATTATCCATGGAAATGTAAATTGATGCTATCTTAGATAACTAGAAACTCATAAAATTGACCATGGTCATTTTGGATTAAAAATATATAAGATTTATATGGTAGCATTCTTAAACCTCTTTTTATACCTTATAAGTTAATGAATCTAATCATATATATATGAAAAACATTTTTTACATCATTTATTATATAGCTAATACATACAATAGTTTTAAGAATAAAAATGATTATTATTTTAGTACTTTTTAAAATGAATGCTTTGTCTCACATTGAAGTTAAATGATAAAAGGTAAGATGCCAGGGATGCTCAGAGAAGAGAAAATCAGTTTGTAAAACTAACTGAATTGCTAGGATATAAATTAATGCTTAACTTTTTATACCTGGTTAAAACACAAGTACAGTAGAACTAATTATCCATGGAAATGTAAATTGATGCTATCTTAGATAACTAGAAACTCATAAAATTGACCATGGTCATTTTGGATTAAAAATATATAAGATTTATATGGTAGCATTCTTAAACCTCTTTTTATACCTTATAAGTTAATGAATCTAATCATATATATATGAAAAACATTTTTTACATCATTTATTATATAGCTAATACATACAATAGTTTTAAGAATAAAAATGATTATTATTTTAGTACTTTTTAAAATGAATGCTTTGTCTCACATTGAAGTTAAATGATAAAAGGTAAGATGCCAGGGATGCTCAGAGAAGAGAAAATCAGTTTGTAATACATTTTATCACTTTAAACTTTCTTTTATAAATTAAGAATAAGAAAAGCAGTAAATTCACTTTGACGTTTATCTCAGATAATACAGAACCTTGGTTAACCAGGGCTTGGATAATTGGGGTTTTACTGCACTAATAACAATATTGAAAAGATTTTAATTCTTTTATTCTTATTTTGCTTTACCTGTATATTTTTGGCATTTGCTTGAACAAGAGATTGATCAAAACATGGAACTAATGGCTCCACAGTATCATTGAACTAAAAAAATTAAATTAATTTGTAAGAAATTAAAAAAATACAAATTTTTTTCTATTTTAGATATATTTATATATAAAATATATGCAAAAATTTATGGCATTTTTAAATATGAAGATTATTATTAATTTTAACAACTTATCAGTGCAATGTAATTGTACTATTCAAAAATAATTATATTCAATTTAATTAAAGCAGCATACAAAAAGTTAAATATAATAAACACAAGTCTTTTCATTTTTTATTAGTATTATGCAATCAAAACAACAAATATAATAAATAAACCATTATTTTTCCTAAACTTACTCATAACATATTTTCAGAAAACATTCCAAAATGAATGCAATCAAGTTGAAACTTTGAATATTTTTAAACCAGTAAATTGATGTATTATTTATCATACAAAAAAATTAAGAAAAAAAAATTTTTTTTAATTGAATACTATACATTTACTAGACATATGTATCTTTCTTTCTTTCAAGCATTTCTCTCATATTAAAATAGAATACTATAATAAACACATTCAAATAACCTTAAAGAAACAGTAAAAATTTAATAACTAAAATGTTTTTGGACATTTTTAACAACTTTTTAAAGACTGTGCTCCTCTCATGTACCAAATATACAAGGTCCTTCTTGAATACTTTATGGCCACAGAATACATGGTGGCTCCCCAACATCTATTAGAGCAACTATAGCCCAGACTAAAACGTTTTGTATGCACAGCTTTGGCATGAGTACTTCACCTGAGAAATGCCATGGTTATATCCCCATTAACACCCAGATTATTTATTTTTGCAAAGGTGCACAAACCAGGAAAAAGCTTGAGATCAGTGGTGGACAAATGTTACTTGATCAAGTTGAATCAGCAAGGCATACTGGAAAGGCTGTCCTTGCAAGCTCTATTTTCAAAATTTCTTCTCCTTTGTTTCTAATGATAGTGGATCCTGGGCCAGAAATGGGTCTCAGTCTCCCTGAGCTAGAGATGTTCTCAGGGAGTCTGTTTTATGCAGTCATAGTCTGTAAAGTGGAAAATAAGGCAGCAGAGAATAGCAGGTTTAGTCTTCAAAGTCTTCAGATATCTACTTCTGCTATTTCCAAGAATAACATTCTTGTGGCTGTGGGCAGTTCTAAGGGTTCTGCCTCAGCTCTGAGTATACCTCTCCCCTTGGTGGTAAACTTAAGTGTAAAAAAGTTTTGCATCACTTTTGTTGCTACCTGAAAATTTATCTCTTCTGATTTGCAAAATCAGATTCAAGATTTTCTCCTGGAAGAGATCAACAAATCCATGAATCTAAATGACTCTCCTATGTTTATTTCTTGAATTTTTAGGGGTCATTGAGACTGGCTGGCTTCTCTTTGAAAAGTGTTACTTGACTTAGTAAGCATCTGAGCAGGAAGTCCCTTTTATTGTTTTCAGGGTTGAGTATCTCTCTGCCCAAGCCTGTGAAGGTTTTGTGGCAATCCTGGGTCAAAAATATGAAGATCCTCTTTAGATCCTTAAAAGATTTAAAATTCAGAATCTTAGTCTGGTGGTTGGGCACTGGAAATTACTTGATAGAGCTTTTGGCCCTTATGGTAAACAAATGGTTCTAGTGATTGACAGTGCCTTGGTTGAAATGCTTCAAGGCATAGACCTTGGCTTTTTCTGGGACTTACTAGGGTGACTTTTAAAATCATTGATAATTTCTCTGATTTATCATCAGCATCAGCATCCACATGGGGCCTTGGAGAGACAAGCCCACTACCATAATGCTCATGCCCAATAACACCTGATTGGCATAGGAGCTCTGGTGTGGGTGAAAAAAGAAGCAGATGGAAGCTGGGACCAGATTGGTAACAGGGCAGCCTTGACCCCTTTCATTTAGAGTGCAAACAGAGGGAAAAGAACACCAGAAGTACATGGATTAACTATGATCTTGGGTGGAAGAATCACCTGTATGGAAAGAAAACATTGGCTCTAAAGTAGAGTGATTGCTGATGCAACAGGCAGGACCATCAATTGCTGAACCAGATAAGGCTGAAGGAGAAGCACTTTGCTGTAGAAACAGATGCAGCAATACCAACAACCACAGGCTCAGGAGGGTCAGTTTTGCATCGTTCTTTATGTTTGAGGTGACCCCACCATTCTAAGATCAATTTCTTGGGGAGAATAAGGTGATGATATTGGGACATTTTAAGGGGGAGATGATATAGGAGGGCACTGTGGTGTGAGTTGTAGCATGAAAAATAGAGAGTGGCAGTGACTATGTCCATGAGTAAAAAAAAGACAAACTGGTAATAAAGATTATTGCCTTATTTTTAATGTGCATTTGTTACAGATAGAATTATACTGACTCTTCCCATCTGGTGAGATCAATCTCAAGATCTCTGCTGAGGTTTTTCTACTCATCACCTTTCTCTTCTAATTGATTGTTGTGCAAATGCACACAACAGGCAATGTAAGGAAAATAATCCCAGAGAAGACTATTTTCTGGAGTTTTTGGTTACAATTGACCTGTAATTTTAAATCAAGGCAATAAATTCACTTATGATGAATTCTAGACATGTGGAAATTCTGGATCTCATTCTAGCTTCCTCTAGTTTAGGTAGCAGAATGATAGACTGGCATGTCTCTGATGAACCATCCTATCTAATCACAGACACATTACATTCATCTCTAGTTTGGCTTCTAGTTAAAATAGGTGGCATTTTACAACCAAAAGAAAGTTGATTAGCATATTTTAGAGTGCCTGTCTTCCATATTACTTTGCTTTTCATACTAATTTGGACTGTATTGTACATTGAGTTGGCTGTTAATTTTGTGCAACAGCACATTCTCAAGTCTTACACTATTAGTTAGCCTATGAAGAGAAGTTCATCCATTGTTTAATTCCTTGATGGAACTTGGAACTGAGCTCCATGATTTCTCCAACTTGGAAGTTATTTAATTGTAATAAGTATACTGATAAGTGAAGCTTTTAGTAATCCTGGAATAAGAAAATGCTAATGTTCTTTTTTGTATGGGGAAATTTTTCAACAATCTGTCAGACCTTCCTCAAAGAGGCCTGTAAAGAACTGGTGCAAGCATAAGGGCTTAAGTATTAGTCCTGACAAAACTATTATTACAAGTACTGTATTTCTTTTACTTATAGAAAAGCTTTATAGAAAAGCTTCTCTGAACTTCTCTTTGGTAAAAGATTTCTGTTTTCTTCTTGAGTCAAGTATCTTTGGGTACTGCTTGATTCTAGCACGTTATGGATTTTACACCTTGAGATGATTGTAATAAATGTAATAACCAGGTATCTTATGATTATTACACTTATCAAATCCTGGGATCTATAACCACATGTACTCTTTTGATATTTACTATAGTTGTTTGACCCAAAATAGCCTATGCTGCCTTAGTTTAGGCCTAATGCTCTTTGCATAGATTGTCAGACAAAGCTACAAAGTTTGCAGTGAACTGTATGCCATGATGTTACTCGAGCTTGTCTATGATCCCAGATAGTTCTTTTGAAGTTCTATTGGATCTTCTCTGCATCTATTTATTCAGGCTGAAATGTAAAGGAACCTCTGTAGGCTCAAGGGCAGGATTTTCCAATGGGGTCAGTACTGAGGGAGGATCAATAAAACTTTGCATATATATATTTATTTTAAAATATTAAAAATTGTTCACATTTTTTGCTCATAATAAACGTAGAAAAACGCCTTTTAAAAATTATGTAAGAGGTTGTTGCATGTGTTTTTATATATAAAATAATATTGTATAGTATATAATATTGAAGGAGGTCAATGGAAAAAAATTTTTCTTATAGGGGTAAATTCATGAAAAAAAGGTTAGAAGCTTCTGTTCAGGAGTATTCGTCAACTGATTTTTAGACCAAATCCTATTGGACATTTGGCTCTACTGAAAAACATGATGAAAAAATGATATCTTTTTATGGGTTCCAACAGAATTTTCCTTGGTTTATGTTTGGCAGATGTTATCTGATCTCTATTCCTCCTTGACTTGCTTGACATATGGGTGGGATAACCTTCTGCTTACAAATGATTTACAGATGGATCCAAAACTGATAATAGCACAGGTGTTGGCATTTGTGGGAGACAGTCAAACATGGACTTCTTTGTCCCACTGAATAAGTTCCCTTCTTGTTTCAAGCACAGTTTCTAGCTGTTATTTGGTGTGTTTGCACTATTTTATGTAGAGGTCCTCTCAAAAAAACTATCTACATTGTTTTCTGAAAGTCAGGATGTCTTTGTGATGATTAGTGCATGGGATTCATGATCAAACAAAGAAACCCTGTTACCAGATAAGGAAGATCGGGTAATTTCACAAGTAGTTTATTTCGTGTACATATACAAGTTCTTAATAAAGATTTCAATGTCGTGTTGCCATACAGAAATGCACCAACTGGTACAGTATGATCACTATTTTAACAATTCCAAACTGACATATATTACTCGCGACAATGCACTTGGGTATGAGTCTTAAAACTAATCTTATAAACAAAAGTACAACTAAAATTAGAATAAGGATAGGTTCATTTGGAGGTAAAGAGTAAGATTTAGCAAAGATAAGAATACCCAGGTTTGGTTCTGTATGTTCAATGGGTGAGATGCCACATGAGACCTTCACAAGGGTTGATAAGTTCCTTTTTCCTATATCAATTTCTCCTATTACTTTCTCCTTAATTCTGTCCTGCCCTGCTGTCACCGCAATAAGACAGGATTCTTTCCTCAGACTAATTGATGTTCTCCAGCTGTGGTTAATGCCAACTCAGAGTGCTCAAAATTCAAGTCTGTTTACTTCCAGGTTTCTGAAAAGAATGACATGCCTCACATCCCTTTTTCCTCAGAGTCTTACTCTCCCCTTTGTTCACATTAGTTCCTGGAACTGGTAATCTCACCCAAGGGAAAGGAGTTAGGGAGGAAAGTTCTAGAAGAAAGGAGAACAAAGGGCTACTATACTAAACTTATATTAATATATATAATACAATATGGCTTGCAGCCACATCTTAAAGGCACTTGAGTCTTGTCAGGTTGTTTGGGAGCACTTGTTTAGGAATGCTATTTACATCAATGAGCAACAATTTTTTCCATGGTGACATGGTGGCAGGATATCAGGGTAATGCTGGCAACATAAGTACTGATCTATTATACAAGCAAGAAGTTTTATATCACTTTGTAGTGCTCAAACCAACTCTTTAGTATTTCTTGTAACACTTTATTAGAGCTGTCAAAAAATGGACTACCTCTAATCATTCTAAGTAGTAGAAGTTAACTACTGATTTAAAGCAGAACAAGGCATTTTTGCCTAGTCTGTCCTCAGGGTGGGATAAGGATTTCTTGACTTTTGACAAGATCATGTTTGTTTTTTAGTCAGTGTTGTGACTAGCTTTGATCACTTTTGTAAACATCTGTGTTAATTAAAACCTTCGTTCTCAGCCTTTTGTTGTTTTTTAGATCTTCTGAGGAGACTTTTCTGCATTTCATTTGTGAGTGTACAGTTCTTTGCCAGGGCAGCCTTGTTCTTCTAGGTTCTCTTTGTTTAGCCTTGATGATGTCCCTCAGCTTTCCTTCAGAAATCTACTGTCTCTTTTTAAGAGATTAGATTTCTAAAGTAATCTTTCATGGAGTCACAATAAACTTTTTAAATTGAGATATATTTAACATGCTGTCTCCTACTTGCACAATAACAACAACAACGTGCTTGTTTCTATATGTCATAAGTTTCCCATAGCTTTTTTTTTTTTGTAAATGAAAGCAAAATTTCAACATTATGTGTGGTTCATTACAATCAACTTCCATTTTGTTGTAGGCAGACAGCAGAGAACACTGCTCTGTATACTCTAGTGCAGAGATCGGCAACCTTTTTGTCAATAAGGGTGCAATATAAATTCAAAAGTTATGGAGACACAAAAAAAACTTCAAAATATTAAAGGTTTTATTTCAAGAAATATACATATACTTAAATTATAAATACAAAACAAATAATGACAAATACAAACATCCAAACAAGTGACATCTGACATTGCAAATCTGCCAATTTGTTATAATTAGGAATATAATTAGAATTATATGTTCTTAAACAGTTATCTAAATTAGAATGTGTGAGCTTTGATTGATATTTTGTTTTTGGATACATCATATTTGAAAACAGACATTCACAATTATATGTAGCTGCAAAATATGAACAAATTATTAGTGCACATTTTCTTAAAAATAGGATATTTATCTTTATGAACTAAATTCCAAAACATGTTAATGTTATCATTATTGCTTGCTTTTAAAACAGTATTGTATTGCAGATTTATTATTTGTAATTCTATTTCATCCATATAACTAAGCTCAAAATATTTGCCAATTGCAGCAGATGCATTATCAGAAGACACATTAAATGGATTAACAAAAACATTTCAACAGATTCTAAATTTGTAAAAACTTGCAACTCAGGAAGAAAATTCTTTTGAAAGATTCTTCATAATTTTTATTTATGATGTAGCATTAAATGTTTTCTTAACCAAACTTTCAATAATAGATTTCATATTTCGAAAATGCATTAATGAATTTTTTATTGAATATGATTTCAGTATTGATAATTTAGTTTTAAACACATTTACTGCACTAACCATATCAGCAATATGCTGATTTTTAAATTTAATTTAAAATAATATATCCCAAAAAAAATATTTTACTAAAAGCATAATAAAAATTTGCATGATTTATTTTATAATTAATTTATACAATTAAATTATTGTTTTTCACAAAATAAAAACTCATTTAATCAATTTATTTAATCAATTAATCATAAATATAATAGAGCAATATTTATATTAAATCACTAAACATTAAACAAACCAAAATATTAATACAATGATAAGAAATATACATTATAATTTCAATATACATTGATCAGATATTTTATAATCATTAACTTGATGATTTTAAAAATCCAAAATATTTTCTAAATACAGTGAAAACTTGATTATTTGAAATGTAATTATCCTTAACTCTGGATTACTCAAAAAGATTAAAAAACAAAGAGAATGCATAGTATTATACATACCACAGAGTATAATGCACAAAGACCAAACTCTTCACATAAATCACTTCATCATTTGTCAACTGTAGTGTCACAAAACTAGATCATATACATAATACAGTAGAGTCCTGAAAACTCAACCTAATGTGGATCGAAAAGCACAAATGGCCGAGTTTGTGAAAATGCCAGGTTATCAGGAATGGGGTTAAAAAAGAATACGCACGAGTGTTTCCTCAGAAAATACTATACTGTACATGTATGTATTGTTTGCTTGAGAATACAACAGAGCAGCGATTCCCAACCTGTGGTACGCGTACCCCTAGGGGTACGCAATAGGTTGTTTAGGGGTACAGAAAAAGTTAGTTATTATGGCAGAAAAAATAATATATTATGTATCATAAACTAATAGTATTAAAAAATTATTAGATAAAAAACGTTCCTTGCAACAATCACAACTTTATTATACACTTTTTCTTTCAGGTTTTTTTTCTTTAATTTAAAGTTACAATATGTAAAATTAACAATACGGTTACTCACTAAATTTCTTAAATGAGGGGTACAATCTAGAGATTATGACATGTCACGGGGTACACTAATGAAAAAAGGTTGGGAACCACTGCAACAGAGAATAAACTGCCCAAATACCCTTAAACAAAGGAAAAGTACATACTTTATGAAAGCCTAGAGCTTTTACTACATGAAAATGAAAATTAATGAATATACAGTGTACAGTAATTTACCTGATAAGACAGACCTCAGAAAAATATGTTATGAGTCATAAAGCTGTCTATAATGAAAATTAACTAGGGGTTTTTTTGCCCTGCCAGGGTGTGGCTGAGTTATCCAGACTGTCAAGTTATCAAGTGCCAAGTTTTCGGGACTCTACTGTATTACATTAAATTTTCAGTAAATTAATTTGTCTTCATAGAGTAATGCATTACAATGTTTATCATATGTGAAACTTGAAATGCACAGTGCTTGATGTACTAAACCCAAAACACAAAAACAAACAAGTTTTTGGATTATCCAAAATTTTGCTTATCTGAAAGACCAGTAGTCCCATCAAGTTCAGATAATCTGAGTTTTCACTATAGTTAGTAAAGATCCTGCTGGAGTGAATTTCTTATCATTTTAATGCATAATCAAGTATGAAATTAATTACACATATTGTTTAAAAAACTAATTAACCAATGATAATTTTAACTAATATAATACAGTGGTGCCTCGTATAACGTATGCCTCGAATAATGGACTTTCTGTTTGGCTGTTACGTGACTCGAGCAACGGACTGGCTGCGAACAACAGACTTTCCGTTCGGCAGTTACGTGAGGCAAACAACATTTCTGCGAACAAGTTGTGAATGATGTTTCCACTCTTTTGCCATTGCCAATGACAATCTACTATTTTTAGAATATATTAGAATAGTCTATATTATTACTATATCTGAAGTACAGAGCTCCCATTGGGATTCGGCTTGCTCCCTTGTTTATTAAGTACATCACCTCAGTGCAGGGTATTTACATTTATTCAAGTGTTGTGCAAATCAAGGCTTCTAAAAAAACAGAAAGGTGATTTCAATTGAAACAAAGCAAGAAATCACCAGAAGGAGTGAGAGTTGACAAAAACTTCCTTGTCAAATGGGGAGAAGTTCAGGAGTTTACCAACATTCATTATCCAAACACAGCTGAGGCCAACAGGATCAATGATCTCTACAATGACACCCTTGCCCATCATTTCCGACAGGTGTTGAAGAAGAGAGAGAAACAAACCACCTTAGATATGTTTTTCAAGAAGCCAGCTACCAAAAAACAAAGGATGGAACAAGAGGGAACAAGACCCTGCAAGCTCCGGTAGCCTCTCCTGAATCTGACTCCAATTAAAAAACAATAAAAAGAGACCTGCTGCAATGTATAAAAAGTCTGTATCTGTATGAAGGTGTGAAGAAAGTGTTCCTCCACTTCTTCCTCACATCTGACTACCCGGCATAATTGGTGACTGCTCCATTTTCATTTTTTTTTTAATTATACAGTACAGTTATTTTATGTTGAGGAACGAATTATATGTTTTAACATGTATTTCTATGGGAAAATGGGTTTCTTATAACAGACTTTTCACTTAACAGACGTGCACCTGGAACGGGTTAAGTATGTTATACGAGGCACCACTGTAGTTTATAATTTTATTCTGTGTTTTTAAAAATTAAATTAGATAAAGTGTAACATTAAAAATTAAATTATTATTTTATGTACTCGGTTTCCTATCTGTTTTATAATTTAAATAAAGTAATATATCTATATTTCTGATAATCAATACTAAATTTAGATTAGAAAAAGAAATTACAAAATGAAACATAAGGAATTATTTCATAAATTAATATTAGAATAAATAGCAAATATATATTCTTTATAATACATACTTTGAGAACAGTGACAAAATCATTTTCGAATAATGTATCCAAAATATTCATTACAACATTTCCTGCTATTTCTTTTCTAATACCAGTCATTGATCCACTAACATCTAGCAAGATAACAATATCTTTTGCAGATGCAGCAGCTTGAATATACCTGTAATAAAAATTATTATTATAATAAAATAAAGAAATTGCTTTTTGCCCTTAGTATAATTAAATTTAATAATAAAATAAAGTTTTTAATTGAAATATTACAACTTTTAGTACTTATGACATAACTGATTAGTTCAGTTATATTACATAATAGCAATGAACAACTGTTTCAACAGAATCAAATATAAATTTTCAAAATAATCATAAACATCAATTTTAATTCATTAAGTGAAAAACTAAATCATCCTATGATATATTTATAGGATAGAGTGCAAATAATTTTACCTTACAATTATCTACAATATATTTAAATTTTATTAAAATATATGACAATTTCAATAATTCCAATTATTTTTAGTTGTTCTTGTTGTTCCAAAAGGTATTCGAAAGAGAATAGTCATAAATCCAAACAGTTGCTGAATTATATTGGGTTATATTTAATAAATAATAATAATGGTATTACTATCATTATTAATATTTATTAAATGCTAAGTATCTTGTTTTCTAGATAATTTTCTTGTCATAAATTACAATTCTCAAGTTGAGATGCGAGTCTTTGAAGAAAAAAGGAATCAATTTGTAAGTCAAGTCTCAAATCCTTTCAATCAAGTCTGAAATTGAGTCTCAAATCTTTTTATAGAAAACCTTTAGAGCTATTTCAAAGTCTATTAGATAAATCACAGAATTAATAGCTATTTCAAATTCAGGATTAAGAACTTTCCATTCCACCATTTTAACATTAGACATAATTAGAGCACTAATTTCAAGAAATGTTAATTTTTAAAAGATTTTTTTTTGAACAACAGTAGCCAAATTTTTGAATGTCACTGGCATTTGCTTGTTTAAATAAATTCAAACTTAATGGATATAAGGAAGCTCAGTTGATTAATAAGTTTTTCTGGTTCTAATATCCAAAAATGTTTGTATTTTTGAAAATCAAAGCTGCTGAAAGTGATATTATAAGCATAAGTTTACTCTGAAATATTGTAGACAATCTGTCTGTTTTTAATAACAGGATTTATTGTTGAAAAATAAGAAAAACATTTTTAACATTTTCATGATTTGTTGATTGGTGGCAACACTAGTCATTTTTGCTCTCAAGCTCCCCTACCCCTTACTTTTGTCTTTCTTCTCTTCCTGCTTGTTTGTTCTTCAGATGTAGATGAATGTAATCACAAATTATGTAAAGTCTTAATGTTAATATTTATGTATTTTATTTAATAAAAGTTTTTATTAACTATCGCAGTGTGTGTTAGGTTGAGTTCTGGTCTCTAGTTTCAACATTTATTAATCCTGCTCGTGAAATCTTGGGAGATACTAATCTTCTGTGAAAATTTATTGATAAAATTCTCATTGTCAGTAATATCAATATTAGTCTATTCATTGGATATACAAATATCCCACTAGTCTCTACCAACAAATCCTTCTAAATTCATTATTTTAATAATCATAATATTAGAGTTTTTCTTTTCATGAGTGTGCTTTATCAGATAGTCACTTGAAGCATTAGTAATTATAATAAAATAAAATATAAAATCAGGAATCTCTTTTATTTCAGATGATTCAGGAAATAGGTATCATCTTTTACATAGTTATATCTTTTACACTTATTTTATGCTGTGAGGTTGCTCCATCTTCTGCTTCCTTGGATAAATTCTTTACAGTATATGCTTTAAATCACATAGCATGTGTTTTTACATGCCTAAGAAGTTTGAAGCTGTAGATATCTCATTGATGATTGTTACAGCACAAAGTACTTGCCTAAGTATATTTTTGCAGTGTTTTAGCCACTTCTGCAAATGTGAAAGTTAAAATGTTTCTTTTACTCAATTATTTATGTTTAGAAACTTATTAATATTAGATTAATATAAAATAGTAAAACAAAACAAAATTATTGAAAGTTATTTAACAAGAAACCCTTGAAAAAATTTATTATTGTTGAAAAATACTACTACTCTTTTCTCTTTTTATCACCAAAATTGTAATAAAAATAGCCCATAAAAATAATTCAAAAATTTTTATATATTTAACGTAAATAAAGAAAACAAAATACAAAAAAAATAGCTTAAATAATAGCAAATTTTTCCCACAAAGTCCTTAAAAAATTTTCAAGTTAAAACTCAAATTGAGTCACTTTGGTAACTTAACCAATTCAAGTTTTAGTCAATCAACTCAAGTCAATAGTATGGCTGAGAAGCAGTTCAAAACCTATTGAAACGACTCTTAGTCTCAAGTCTAAAAGTGATTTGCAATAAAAAAATTAATAAATAAGTGATAAACTTGAAGAAATATAAGTGTTCATTATAACATTTATGAAATCATACTAACTTAATTTAATTAACCTATTCAAATAAATGCTATAATTAAATCATAGTGTAGTTAAAGTTATTTGATAATTTTGTATTATTTTTATGTATATTTTTGTTTATATTTTACATAAAAGAATCAAAATATATTATAGTATTGTCAAATATTTGTTATTTCTCTAGAAAAAATAAAGTTTAATAAATGTAATAAGAGAGGAATATAATACACTAAGCAATGCTGCATGTGAATTTATTAAAATATATTTATTTTTGCATTTTAAATTAATAAAAACAATTTAACATTTATTTAAAACATGTTCATCTCACATTATGTTATTTTATTTTAAAAATATCATTTCTTTAAAAATAAATAAAATTTACAAAATGATATAAGCATAGACATAAGAGGAGTGCTCATTTTCAAAAATACCATTTGTATAAATTTGAAAATCCAAACAACAGAAATGAAAATCTACTTTTAAAAAGTTCATTTTAAAAAATTAAGTAATAAGTATAATTTATTTTCGTATCCAAATGAAAAATAATCATAATTTCCTTAACGTTCAAAAATTTTTACAAGTTAACATGAATTTCTTAAACTGAAGATAACATTAAGCATACATTTACATTAAATAATGTTTTTAAAGAGTTATATTATAAAGATAACATTATAATTTTGTCTGGGTTTCATTTTTATTCTATTACACTTCTTCCCTATTTCTACTTCTGACATATTTGTTTCAATTATATTCTTATCTTATATCAAATATTTATTTATTTATCATTTAATGTAAATCAGAATTTATTCATTATAAAATTATTTCATTCCTGCTGCTAGTAATTTATTATTCTATAGTTAGCAATTTAATCAACTTTTACTATGGAAATGTTTATACATTTTTAATAAGATAGCTATTTATGAGTGTGTCTGTAATTACAGAAATATAGGACAATTATACTTGATTAAAATAAATAATTAATTAAATAAGATTTTAAAAAATAAATGTTGTTAGTTATATATACATCATATTTAATTAATAGAAATTTTAAATTGATATATTTATTATATGTAATTAAATATACACAATTAATTAATTTAACATTAAATACTGTGTCTTTTAAAATTCTTTTGTGATTTATTAAAATTAAATTTATAACGCGTTAATTATTAAAATTATAATCTAACTTTTGCAATTAATTCAGTATTATTAATATTTAATTTAATTAAATAGAAATGATCATTTTAATACATATATCTAGTATAATGATGATATATAACCAGATTACATATACTGTATTCAGCTTTTTCTATTCTTTAAATATCATATATAAATTTTTTACAACCTTCACAATAATTAAATTATTGAAAAACAGCATTTTAATTCAAATATTAGTATTAAGGTCAATTTAAGAATGTTTTTAGCTTGGTGTTCATTTAACACTCAGCTAAAAATATTCTTAAATGAACTATTGTTTGTTTTTCATCTACGTATTCATTCATTGTGTTCTTTGTAAGTTAAGAGTGATGCCTTCTGAAGTTACAAAAATAAAGATTCCAAAAATATTCAAGAATTGAAAGTTGACAAATGATTTCCTTATCTTAAAGATAAATTTGTTGTAATTAAATTAAATTAATCCAATTCATAGATTTATAATCTTTATTTTTAAATTTAGTTTTATAAATATTACTATATTTGAAAAGTTGGTTACAATTGACCNCCCTCTAGTGCCAAATTTATTTGTAATTCAAAATTAATATTTTCAATTATAGCCCGATTATTTACAGCAATCGTGGGTGTCTATTTATTTTATTTTATTTTATTTAATATACAACATATCCAAGAAAGATCTTTATCATTCTAAACATTAATAACAAAAATACTAACAGGTAAAATGAAATGCAGTTTGTTGCAAAAGAATGAAGAAATCTAAGAGTTTTTTCTGGTATCAATTGCCTGAGGTAAATGATGCTAGTTGCTTGCCAGTTGTGATAAGGATCCATACCTTGGCCTCTGTGATCGCCCGACATAACTCCACTGGATTTCATTTTTTGGGGCTATGTTAAAGATAGGGTTTATCAAACATCTGTTTCTGATATATACATTTTAAAGAAAAGAATACAATTAGCAATTCTCACTGTTACACTGCAAATGTTAAAAAACACTTGGAGGGAAATCAAGTACAGACTTGACATTGTTCGTGCTACTAACGGAGTTCACATACAGCTACATTGAAGGTACTGTAAAAAAACTCTTAGATTTCTTCATTCTTTTGCAGTAAACTGCATTTTATTTCACCTGTTAGTATTTTTGTTATTAATGTTTAAAATGATAAAGATCTTTCTCAAACATGCTGTATTTTGGTTTTACAGTCAGAAAAATGCTATACTTTACAAAAGAATTCAAATCTTTCATATATTTCTAAAAAAAAACAGATATACATTCACATTCTACTACAAAATACAAATGTCCTGACAATGGAGTCAAAAATAAACTAAAAATTTTTAATGACTTATTCTCATTTCTAAATTTTTTCAAAATCAAAAAATTTGAGTTTAAGAGTCATTAACTTAATTATCAAGTTTATTACTTAATTTAAAACATTACTAAGTTTCTAAAATTACTATAAATATAGTTTTTGCATATTTTGTAGTTTTTATTTAAATAAGACAAAGGAATTAGATTTGAAATTGTACAATTTCCAACAACAATGATACAAATAACTGAATGATTTAATATTAATATTAAAAATGCAATACTTTAAAGAACAAAAACCTTCTAACACAGTCTTATATTTTTAATAAATACATTAAAGTCAAACAATCTGCAGATTATATCAGGCTATAATAGATTATTTGGCCTTAATTGAAAATCAAATTATTGGATGTTTATATTTGTAAATACTTTAAAATAAACATTTTATAACATTATATATTTAAAAAATAATTTTATGTTTCTTATAAGCCTGAGAAAACTTATAAGAAACATAAAGTTATTTTTTTTGTTCTGAATTGTTCCTTAAAATCTGAAAATCATAAATTGTTTCTTTGTCAATCTTTGACCCCATACTTTTACTCATTTATAAAAGCACTAATTGATTACAAAGATGTTTTTTTATTTACTTGTATTAAATGCTCAAAAAATGTTTAATACATTTAAATAAAAAAGACCTCTATAATCAATTACCAATTTTTATATATGAATAAAAATGTTTGTTTGTTACTTTGAATCATATCAAACTTGTAACATGGTAGAAAAGTCATTTTTTCTTTTAAAAATTGTATTATCTATAAATCTATAATACAATATTTTAAACAATATGTATATTAAACACAGACACACGCCTAAAACCAGAACAAATTAGCAAGGTTGTGGCTGAAGTTTTCATCTCTAAAACGTAAATGTCAAATGTCGAGTGCCACTATCTTGTAAGCGGTGCTTGATGTTCAACGTTCACGTTTTAGAGATGAAAACTTCAGCCGAAACCTCACTATTAACTCAAAATAGTACTTTTACTAACATTTTTTTCTGTTTGTAGCAGACATCAGGTATAATAGATATAATGCAGAATTAAATGAACAAATTAAAATTGAACATGAACATGATGAATAAATTATAAGTTCAGTTTAAAATTATTTTCCAAAAAAATTATAAATTTAGTTTAAAATCATATATATATTAATTAAAACAAACCATTATAAAACTCAACTTTTAAAATGGAATAGAGATAGTATTTAAAAATTATGGTGAGAAAATAAGAAAGCTATCTCATCATTTGAAAAGATAAATAACTCTGTAAATAATCAATATTAAGAGCATACATATAATTTACTTAATTACATACAAAAATTAATGTATTTCTACTTAAAATAGAAAATTTCTACTTGAAATTTGATAAAATTATAGAGCTTAGTATACACCTGATACAAAAACTCTAAAATACATTTAATTTCAGTGTTTAAAGATTGTTTTAAAAAGCTAATTTCTTACAGAGACTTATAATTTCAGGATTTTTTTAATAAAATATGTTTAGAACATTTTTTTCTTTTTTAAAGACTATCACTGAAAGAAATGTAAGTAAACATTAAAACAATGTGTATTTATTTTAAATCTTTTTTGAGTTTCTCAAAAATTTTGTTTTTAAATATCAGGAGTCAGTAATTTAACAGAAAGTCAACTACTGTATAAACATATCAAATGTAAACATCTTAATTCTCAATCAATCAATCTGATTTTAATAGTCAAAACTTTATCAGAATTTAATGACAAATATGTAAAAGCAAACCTTCTAAGAATGAATCTCTAATAACTATAATAATAATACTAATATTTAATCAAAAGTATTATTTTTCAAATGTTTCCAGAAATGAAATTTGATTCCAATAAATACACTTTGCATGTGAGTTCTTTTCTGTTAACAGGATGTCACTTGTAACTTTAATTCAATGCAACTATTGCATTTAACTATTTAGCCAACATGGCTGTGCCAGTTTGAAGTAGCCCACTTGACTGTTTGTGGAGTACTTGATATTATATAATTTTAGGGTGTGGGGCAAGCCCCCTGAGGTGCAAGTGATAGTAAGCACTGAAGTGCACAACTATATGTGAAGCATGTAAAATAGACAGTACACTGATACATGTTAAAAACTGATCTTTGGAGGTGAATATCTCGCAAAGAATCAACAATTCTGGGGTAGTGCCAAACCCCTCATTCAAAGCTTGCATATTATCCATTGCTGTACATATTGGTTGGCATCCCATTAATAGAAAGGTAACATGAGTAATTTCTAGAATATTGTTCCAATAAACTTCTGTACAGAAAGTTTTGAAAGTTATTCTATCAATGTAATTGCTATATTTAACATATAATAAGCACAAAACATATTAATGTCGTGACTGTATATTTAACAGGTGTTTATTTTTATTTTTTATTTGAAAGCTTTCTCAATACAATTTTCTACATTAATTTTTAAATCATGCATATTTAACTTTAAATTTGAATGTGTATTATAAAAATAAATTTTATTCAAAAAATAATTTTAAGTAAAATCAAAAATTATAAGAAAGGCAGTTCTATGAGAGATTACATGGGTTGAAGCCCACTGACACAGAAAAATTAAAATTTATTTGTTGAAACTTTAAAACATTTATAATGGCAAATATAATTTATCAGACTACAATACAATCATTCCACAAATGCTAACAAAAATACTTATAATTCATACTTTGCAATTACATTGTAATTTCTATGTTGTGAATTATTTATTTACTTATAAACTTGAATAATCTCTATACTTTTTTCCAAGAAATCATGACAAAAGGTCAGAATGTGCAGTTTATCCAAAACAAATTTGATGACAGAACCTGCAAGTTTACTGTGCTTTCTGTTACTAAGTGTTTTTCTTACTTTGATGGTGATGAAATTTACTTATCAACTGAATGACTTTGCTTAATATAATGGCTGTCTGTAGTCAATGGTCATGAGCATTATTATTAAACGGTTTTGTGTGACTAATTTTGTGAAAATAAGAATAAATAAGGTAAGTTAAATATACAACTTTATATCTATATTATCCCTTAGTTTAAGCTATTTGTCTACTGGAAGATTTTCACCTTTGATTTAAATTAAACAATGTAAAGAAGTCTTACTTTCATTTTGTGGCAATACGCCATATTTTGTATATATATATTTTTTATTTTAATATAGTATAGTTTCTTCTCTTTCTTCTTTGTTCTATTGTCTATCTTTTCTAGAATTTTCCTGCTTAACCTTTTCCTCTTGGATGTTGATGACCCATATAAAAAAAAAAAAACCCAAGGGCTAAAGAGGAGAACAAAACACTCTTTTTGGTTGGGACGTCTGAGGGATAGGACATATGAAAAGGTGCTCTAGGTCGTTTTCACAGTGACTAGATATGAAAGAGGTCCTAAGTGAGAATCAGAGGCAAGTTCAACAGATAGAAATATAAGGACTTTCAGAAGTTACTAAGATGAATTTAGTAAAAATCAGAAACCATCCATGTTTTCTACAACAAAAAAAATCAAGGATTATCATCACCCCAAGATTGCTATGTTTGGGTACACACTTTCTACTATTCTTACTTCTTCCATTATTCTACACCTATTTCTTCTCTTCTCTTCTAATATATAAATTAGTTTTTAAGTGTCTAGTTATAGTTCGTTTTATATCTCTTGTAAAGATTGTGGTAAAATTTTGTGTCAAGAGATTAGCCTTAACCATTGTTCACTTTCTTCATTATATAATTCATTACTACAAATAGTAGATAATTTATCAGATATGCAAATAACCTTTTCCCCCTTGGAATTTTTATCTTTTAATACTACGCGGACTTGTAAACTGAACATCACCCATATTAAATGCTACAAAACAGAAAGGGAAAATTGCTATTCTGTAATAATTAATAAAATTTTCTTAAATATGTATCAATAATAAATTAAATTAGTAAAGTTTCTTCTTTTTTTAAACCAGTATCTAAAAAAACTGTGATGTATGGATTACTTTGAGGGCACAGGTTATTGGAGTAAATACAGTAATGCTAGTTTGATTTTTTTATAACTATTATAAAAGATCTAATTTTTATTAAAATTTCATTAAAAAAAAGTTAGTTTTTGTAAATATTGATTTAAATGAAAATAGAACTAAACAATTTTGATAAAGCTATTAAATATTTTTTTGAAATTATTTTAGTACTTTATGTATAAATGTCTCATCATTAATTAAATGTTCATTTAGAAAATTTCAATTTTTATAATCACATAAAATTTCTAAAATGCATAACAACTCTGACATTAAATGTAAAATAAGTGTTTAATAAGTAATTATAATGCACAAACCTTTTTCAACTAAAAACAGAAAAATATAATAAACATTGTTAAATCTTTAAAAATTATTTTCATTCACAAAATAATCTTTCAAGTAGTAATAATTTCAAAAGATAAACAAATAAAATTCATTTTGGTCAAACAATTTCAAATTGAAGAAACTAAAAAACATATAAGAAGTCTTTCAAATTCTATAGAAAATTGATAAATATCTTCAATAAGTTTCATGCCTCATCTGAAAAAAAAAACTCATCCTTATAGCCTTTGTATTAATTTCTCCCTTTATTCATTTTTCCATATTAGCATATTTTAATAAATATTATTTATTTTTAGTTCAAAATATTCACACCAATGAATCGATTCAATAAAAAGTGTTTATTTCTGTGTTACATTATCAAACTTGACAACAAAAATATTTATTACAAATCTACAAAATTTTATCTTTAATCTATTTTTCATTTAAAATATGTTTACTGAATATTATTTAATAAAGATGTTTTAAAAATCTGATGCTTTGTTGTTTTAAATATAACCCTATTAAGTCAGTATTACATTTTAATCTAATTATTCTTTAATATACTTAACATGTTATAATGTTTATATACTTTTGTATAAACATCCCAACGTATTAATACTAAACAAACTATGGTTTAATATATACTTTTGATTTTGAATATTAAAAACTTACCATGGTTGCATGCGACAATCATAAAAATCGGGATCCTTCTCATCATCATCATTTTTTGGCCATTTTGAACCTGTAATATATATCAATCTATAAATTTATTAGAGTATCAATATTCCTATTAAGCAGTTCTATGAGAGATTACATGGGTTGAAGCCCACTGACACAGAAAAATTAAAATTTATTTGTTGAAACTTTAAAACATTTATAATGGCAAATANTACTCGGTTAGAAAAATAATATTATTCTTATATGTTTGTTCATGAAAGATATTTGTTCTATTGTAAATCGGTGTTATAACAGACAAAGTTATAACTTTATGATATATAATGGGTATTCAATAGCTTTGTTAAAAAATCTCTAAACGAAATCATAAGAACTAATACCAGTATGTTGTGTTAACAAACATTGCCCTTATAACAGGAGAAAAAGCCTTAAACGCTTAATAAAGTTTGAATTGAAATGAATTGAATTATAAACATAAAAAAAATAAATTTATTTTTAAAATTTTTGCCTGGAAATGTTCGAAGAAATCCTGTACTGCTTCCAAAATATTGCCAATGAAGAGAAGGATCTGCTGCTAAGTTGTTCCTGAAGACTGGGTTGAGGTATTCAGACCATTTAATAGCATTTACCAAATTTGATTCTATAAAAAGTCGTATTAAATCATTCTATCTGACAGGTTAACATGATTTCAATTCAGTAGCTTATAATTCTTAAAATAGAAACATCTACTAACCTTTATCGTAGACATTTGTTGGAACATGTATGGAACTATGCATAGTATTTACAGGAATATCAAAATTACGATGGGGTTTTAATTCTAATTCTTTCCATCCAGCATCTTTTACTGGCTGTTCATTTGTATCATATATTTTTTTGGCATTAAAATATTCAAACTATNTACTTCCATATAATTTTTTTTCTAATTCTATTAAATGAAAAATATACACTTTTTAATTGGTTTTTCACTAACTTCCAAATGCTTTCAACAGAGTTTTAAATCTGTGGAACTAGGAAGCCATTTCATTCCAAAAAGATTGTTATCATGAAGCCTTTTAAACAATAGCTGTTCATGGATGCATTGTCATATTGAAAAATATCATCATTTATACTTAACATGTCTATAATAGTATTAAGATATACTCAATATTTTTCTACACTTCAAACTTTGTTATGTTATTTAGAAAGCACAATTCACTTAACTTCTGTAAGGAAAAAGAAACACCCATAACTTTAAAAGAGAATTTTTCAGTAGGAATTTTTCAGTTTATAACAAATATAAAAATTCCTCCAGAATTTTCAATACAATCTTATTCTTTTCAAAATAATATTAAAAATGATAAAATACTTAAAGATAAATATTTTGACATTTTCAGTATTATTTTTGTTCAATAAATATTTTTATGAATTTCACTTTCTGGTTAATATTAGCACATTTCTTCCACATTTTTGATACTGAATTACTTTTAATTTACATCTAATAAATCTTATTGATAATGTGTGCTAAGTGTTTCTTAATAAATGACAGAAATACAGAAAACTTTTGAAGTAAAAATATGAGAATTTTGGACAGAAATCTCTTATTTCTGCTTATAGCAAGAAAAGTTAACCATTGCTTAGTAATCAAAATATGAAACGAACCTATAGTAATTGGAACAGGCTAAATTCCAGCAATTTCTATCTTTATTGGATAATGAGAGGTGACTCTTCATATTAAGTATAAAAATAAATCTAAGATAATTATTGATTTATTGATGTTTGTATCAATAAATAAAAACACTATAAATTAAGTGAATTAGTTTTTTTTAAATTATGTTTTTAATATCTTTAGATGTACAATATAATTAATTCCTAACTAAAAATCATGAAAAAGCAACAAATATATATGTATAAGTTAGAGATAAACAGTAAATCAAGTCAGTCTAATCTAAACAATAGATTCCAGGAAAAGGATGATCACCCATCCTACAGTGGGAGGACATGTCCTACAATTAAATCTTTTGTCCTATGTCCTACCGCCTAACAGAAATGTCCTACTTTCACAGATAATATTTCTGGGCCAATAGGTAGTCATTAATAATAACAATAAACTTTTTTTTCATATTTTTATATTAAATAATGGGTACAATTGCAACAAAGAGTAGCATTTAAAACAACAAGAGTGGTAGACTATATCAATTTAANTTCAAAATGCCAGACTGCAATTTTTAATCGTATTTTTAATTTATTTAATTTAAAATATATGCTTGCCACCTCCAATTATTACCCATGTACATCATACTTTTCCTGACAACAACACAATTGTGCCAGTCATATCTATGTAACTCCATTCCAGGTAAAATTTTTGAATAGAAATCTCATGACTTCTGGTCTATACTGGAAGTTCGTATATAATTAATCAGGGCCTCCTGCTCCTAAACATTCATCTATCTATCACTATTCTCAAGATTAAGAAGAGGACAGACAGCCAGATGGGTGACAGTGGTAATTTATGGGTCCACAGTTTTTTCAAATTGCACCCCAAAAATTTGAAAAATATTTGAAGCAGTGATTAAATCTTTTTAAAGTTCAGTTATGTACATTATTTTAAAATCTTTTATTTACATTATCATTCTATATTTTAGGGCATTATATGTTTTAAAGACAACTTATTTCAAATAAACTGAAAATTTTGGCAAGACAATCAATTAGAACAAACTGTGAAATTAAAATATGATTTTGAAATTATTATTTCATGAAATTAACTATAATTATTCAAGGACTATAGCTTCATGTAACAAAGAAAGAAAATGTTTTTCTTCTTCATTCTTCCAGGAAAAAAAGCAAAATCTCCTTTGGTACATATGCTTTCCCTAAGGATATACCAACATATATTGAAACAGAATTGACTATTTGAATCATATAGAATGAAAAAATAGCATTTCTTTTTTCCTTAGTGAAGATACTGAATGTATGTAATACATAAATAATTGCATAAAAAATTATTATATTTTAAAAAATAGTTATTTAAAGAACTTATAAAACATATAACTTGTTAAAATTAACTTAAAAGCTAAAAAGATATTCATTTAAGTATATTTATATTAGAGAATTTTATTAAATATTCTATATCCACCCTTTGATTTAACTGTTGTCTAAGTTTGAATTCAGAATAAATTTATGTTTATGACATTCTTAATTTTCTAACAGCATATGACTACAATTAACTCTACACGTTAAAACTGAGTCCTAACTAACTTGATGTAATTTTTCTATTAATCATTATTTGAGTCTTCTACTATATTTTACAATCAATAAACTTTGTATACCTATTATAATATCATTGGAGGACTTACACAAGAATCTATAATACATTTAATATAATTTTTCAATATTTTAGTTTTTGTTCTCTCGAATTAAAAATATAAAGAAATTATATAAAATATAAATTATATATATATATCTGTGTGTGTATATGTGTGTATTGTAATGTGTATGTGTGTGCATTCTGCCACTAATTGGTGGATGTTTAGTGAAGTATATGAATATATTATTTATATATATAATTATCTTTTGTACTTAGTTCACGTTAGTTTTATTATGTTCATTATTATAGCAGGTTTTCTTTTTTTTCTTTTGTTTGTTTTGTCGTTCATGTTTGGCACAGGTCCTTCTCACTCTGTACCTTCTTTTTGCAGTGTGTGTAGATGAACCTTTTGATTAGTTACCCAAGAGGTCACATGGGGGCAGCAAGAATGGGTATAAATAGCAGGTCCAGGTGTGAAACAGCACCTTTTTTGTGGAGTTCCTCTTGTGAGTCTAGTCAGGATTGGCACCATCAAGGGATCTCGGGAAAGTACTGGTGTAAGAAGCGAAGACCTGTTTGGCCATCGAGAAGGGAAAGGGAATAGAATCCAATTCCATCTGTGGTGTACGAGGAAATAACAGGGTGGATAGAATCAATAAGGAAGTTAGAGCACCTGAGGTATAGACACAAACAACTATTTTGTCTCCAGGTACAATAGCTGTCAGTCAGATGTTTATTGTTTAAGTGTTGGATTTCCGTGAATAGGTTGTTCTCAATATACTTTACGTGTTATAATAAACTAGTGCAAACCTTGTTACGCATTAAAGAAGGGAGAAGGAAAGTGAAGGTATGAGTGTTATTCGTAATTGGGACACATGACTGTGTAAAGGAGTTTTACAGAGGAGTTCACGAGCCGTCAGTTGCTGAGCACATAAGCTGTTATAAATAAAGGTATATTTTGTAAGCTGACTGTTTGTTTGTTGTAGACCTTGGTCTAGCAAAGTTCTATCAGTATTATATATGTAAGTAAAATGTAAAATCAAATATCTAAAACTGAAACCATAAAAATCATAGCAAAAGAAACTTATATAGAATATTTTTCATCCATTTCTGTCTTTTTAATTTGTTTCAATATGAAATAATACTTTTCTCTTATTATGTAAAGACAGAAATGTATTAAAATTAAAAGTATTAAAATACTAAAAGAGCATTACTAATAAATTTTTTAATTTTACAAATATCATCAAAATGTAAAAATGTTGAAAAAAATGATGACAAGTTAACTATGAAAATGTGATAAGAAAAAATAAATGTATTTATATGTTGATAGTAATTTGTTATTGTAAATGGTGTAAGTTACAGTTTGTTTGAAAAATATAAATAAATTTGTAGACAGTTTTAAAATTATTCAAATAATTAGTCTATATACATATAAAATATCCATTTTCTTAATATAGCAATTATATTTTTCTTATAACAATTAATTTAGTGACTACTGAAGAGTCAATTATTTTTCTCTTCCAGTGCAAAATTCATTTATAGCCTAAGCTATTTTCAAAAGTATTGTTATTTATGAATATCTTAAAATCTATCATTAGAATTTCTTCCAGTTATAAATTTCAGTGAATGATCAATAACTACAATTAACTGTTTTAGTTACCTTATATATGCTGATATTATGATGCTTAAATTAAGCAATATATAAGTACAACACTGTGTGTCATGATCAGTGAATGCAAAAGTTTTCATTGACACCTGTTCAACTATCTTTAAAGCCTATTCAATTCTTTTCTATAGAATACCTGAATTCCATGGGATAAAAATAACAATGTGATGCTAATCACTCATTCCAATTTTGTGCCAGTGACTAAAAAGCAATTAAGTTATATGTATGTTGAATGCATACACTTTGTGGTATGCAGTTAAATAACTTTTACTGCTTCTTTAATTTGCATCAATTTAGTGACATATGACAAAAGTTAATGTAATAAAATGTTTCTAAGAAACTGTGTTCTTGAAAAAATAACAATTTGTTCAATCAGAATTTAATGACAAATATGTAAAAGCAAACCTTCTAAGAATGAATCTCTAATAACTATAATAATAATACTAATATTTAATCAAAAGTATTATTTTTCAAATGTTTCCAGAAATGAAATTTGATTCCAATAAATACACTTTGCATGTGAGTTCTTTTCTGTTAACAGGATGTCACTTGTAACTTTAATTCAATGCAACTATTGCATTTAACTATTTAGCCAACATGGCTGTGCCAGTTTGAAGTAGCCCACTTGACTGTTTGTGGAGTACTTGATATTATATAATTTTAGGGTGTGGGGCAAGCCCCCTGAGGTGCAAGTGATAGTAAGCACTGAAGTGCACAACTATATGTGAAGCATGTAAAATAGACAGTACACTGATACATGTTAAAAACTGATCTTTGGAGGTGAATATCTCGCAAAGAATCAACAATTCTGGGGTAGTGCCAAACCCCTCATTCAAAGCTTGCATATTATCCATTGCTGTACATATTGGTTGGCATCCCATTAATAGAAAGGTAACATGAGTAATTTCTAGAATATTGTTCCAATAAACTTCTGTACAGAAAGTTTTGAAAGTTATTCTATCAATGTAATTGCTATATTTAACATATAATAAGCACAAAACATATTAATGTCGTGACTGTATATTTAACAGGTGTTTATTTTTATTTTTTATTTGAAAGCTTTCTCAATACAATTTTCTACATTAATTTTTAAATCATGCATATTTAACTTTAAATTTGAATGTGTATTATAAAAATAAATTTTATTCAAAAAATAATTTTAAGTAAAATCAAAAATTATAAGAAAGGCAGTTCTATGAGAGATTACATGGGTTGAAGCCCACTGACACAGAAAAATTAAAATTTATTTGTTGAAACTTTAAAACATTTATAATGGCAAATATAATTTATCAGACTACAATACAATCATTCCACAAATGCTAACAAAAATACTTATAATTCATACTTTGCAATTACATTGTAATTTCTATGTTGTGAATTATTTATTTACTTATAAACTTGAATAATCTCTATACTTTTTTCCAAGAAATCATGACAAAAGGTCAGAATGTGCAGTTTATCCAAAACAAATTTGATGACAGAACCTGCAAGTTTACTGTGCTTTCTGTTACTAAGTGTTTTTCTTACTTTGATGGTGATGAAATTTACTTATCAACTGAATGACTTTGCTTAATATAATGGCTGTCTGTAGTCAATGGTCATGAGCATTATTATTAAACGGTTTTGTGTGACTAATTTTGTGAAAATAAGAATAAATAAGGTAAGTTAAATATACAACTTTATATCTATATTATCCCTTAGTTTAAGCTATTTGTCTACTGGAAGATTTTCACCTTTGATTTAAATTAAACAATGTAAAGAAGTCTTACTTTCATTTTGTGGCAATACGCCATATTTTGTATATATATATTTTTTATTTTAATATAGTATAGTTTCTTCTCTTTCTTCTTTGTTCTATTGTCTATCTTTTCTAGAATTTTCCTGCTTAACCTTTTCCTCTTGGATGTTGATGACCCATATAAAAAAAAAAAACCCAAGGGCTAAAGAGGAGAACAAAACACTCTTTTTGGTTGGGACGTCTGAGGGATAGGACATATGAAAAGGTGCTCTAGGTCGTTTTCACAGTGACTAGATATGAAAGAGGTCCTAAGTGAGAATCAGAGGCAAGTTCAACAGATAGAAATATAAGGACTTTCAGAAGTTACTAAGATGAATTTAGTAAAAATCAGAAACCATCCATGTTTTCTACAACAAAAAAAATCAAGGATTATCATCACCCCAAGATTGCTATGTTTGGGTACACACTTTCTACTATTCTTACTTCTTCCATTATTCTACACCTATTTCTTCTCTTCTCTTCTAATATATAAATTAGTTTTTAAGTGTCTAGTTATAGTTCGTTTTATATCTCTTGTAAAGATTGTGGTAAAATTTTGTGTCAAGAGATTAGCCTTAACCATTGTTCACTTTCTTCATTATATAATTCATTACTACAAATAGTAGATAATTTATCAGATATGCAAATAACCTTTTCCCCCTTGGAATTTTTATCTTTTAATACTACGCGGACTTGTAAACTGAACATCACCCATATTAAATGCTACAAAACAGAAAGGGAAAATTGCTATTCTGTAATAATTAATAAAATTTTCTTAAATATGTATCAATAATAAATTAAATTAGTAAAGTTTCTTCTTTTTTTAAACCAGTATCTAAAAAAACTGTGATGTATGGATTACTTTGAGGGCACAGGTTATTGGAGTAAATACAGTAATGCTAGTTTGATTTTTTTATAACTATTATAAAAGATCTAATTTTTATTAAAATTTCATTAAAAAAAAGTTAGTTTTTGTAAATATTGATTTAAATGAAAATAGAACTAAACAATTTTGATAAAGCTATTAAATATTTTTTTGAAATTATTTTAGTACTTTATGTATAAATGTCTCATCATTAATTAAATGTTCATTTAGAAAATTTCAATTTTTATAATCACATAAAATTTCTAAAATGCATAACAACTCTGACATTAAATGTAAAATAAGTGTTTAATAAGTAATTATAATGCACAAACCTTTTTCAACTAAAAACAGAAAAATATAATAAACATTGTTAAATCTTTAAAAATTATTTTCATTCACAAAATAATCTTTCAAGTAGTAATAATTTCAAAAGATAAACAAATAAAATTCATTTTGGTCAAACAATTTCAAATTGAAGAAACTAAAAAACATATAAGAAGTCTTTCAAATTCTATAGAAAATTGATAAATATCTTCAATAAGTTTCATGCCTCATCTGAAAAAAAAAACTCATCCTTATAGCCTTTGTATTAATTTCTCCCTTTATTCATTTTTCCATATTAGCATATTTTAATAAATATTATTTATTTTTAGTTCAAAATATTCACACCAATGAATCGATTCAATAAAAAGTGTTTATTTCTGTGTTACATTATCAAACTTGACAACAAAAATATTTATTACAAATCTACAAAATTTTATCTTTAATCTATTTTTCATTTAAAATATGTTTACTGAATATTATTTAATAAAGATGTTTTAAAAATCTGATGCTTTGTTGTTTTAAATATAACCCTATTAAGTCAGTATTACATTTTAATCTAATTATTCTTTAATATACTTAACATGTTATAATGTTTATATACTTTTGTATAAACATCCCAACGTATTAATACTAAACAAACTATGGTTTAATATATACTTTTGATTTTGAATATTAAAAACTTACCATGGTTGCATGCGACAATCATAAAAATCGGGATCCTTCTCATCATCATCATTTTTTGGCCATTTTGAACCTGTAATATATATCAATCTATAAATTTATTAGTATTAATATTCCTATTAAAAAATAAATTTATTTTTAAAATTTTTGCCTGGAAATGTTCGAAGAAATCCTGTACTGCTTCCAAAATATTGCCAATGAAGAGAAGGATCTGCTGCTAAGTTGTTCCTGAAGACTGGGTTGAGGTATTCAGACCATTTAATAGCATTTACCAAATTTGATTCTATAAAAAGTCGTATTAAATCATTCTATCTGACAGGTTAACATGATTTCAATTCAGTAGCTTATAATTCTTAAAATAGAAACATCTACTAACCTTTATCGTAGACATTTGTTGGAACATGTATGGAACTATGCATAGTATTTACAGGAATATCAAAATTACGATGGGGTTTTAATTCTAATTCTTTCCATCCAGCATCTTTTACTGGCTGTTCATTTGTATCATATATTTTTTTGGCATTAAAATATTCAAACTATATAAATAAAATAATTTTACACATTAAAGAGATAAAAAGAAAATTAATTTATTATTTTAAATATATTTTCAAAATTTTAAATAAAACTAACATTTAATGTCTTTTCATGTTGGTGAGTGAATACAGCTGATTCTGCAGCTTCTGCTATCCTCTGAAAAGTGAAGTAGTAATTTTTAAATTATATCAAGATTAATTTTCTTATATTAAAAACATTATAAAAAGTTTATTAGCCAAGTTTATTATTTTTATACATAAATAAATATTTATATTTAGTTTATTAGTAAAAAATTTATGTAAGAAATGAAATTTTTCAATACATTAGTATTAAAGCAAATTAATATAATCTACAAAAATTAATATATTTCTATGTATAACTACAATACTTATAAATTCTAAATAAAACTTCAAAATAATTTCTTTTTAAATTGTTTTGAAGTTTAAAATGTAATAATTTTATTTGAAATTTTTCAATTCACTTAACAGTTCTACATATCAATTGTTCTATAATAATAGTTTTATACAAATAGTACTAAATTTTAAAATTATCCATGTTTAAACCTTCTGATGCTAATTATAAACAACAAACAAATTATTGTGACTTCTTCAAAATGCCAGACTGCAATTTTTAATCGTATTTTTAATTTATTTAATTTAAAATATATGCTTGCCACCTCCAATTATTACCCATGTACATCATACTTTTCCTGACAACAACACAATTGTGCCAGTCATATCTATGTAACTCCATTCCAGGTAAAATTTTTGAATAGAAATCTCATGACTTCTGGTCTATACTGGAAGTTCGTATATAATTAATCAGGGCCTCCTGCTCCTAAACATTCATCTATCTATCACTATTCTCAAGATTAAGAAGAGGACAGACAGCCAGATGGGTGACAGTGGTAATTTATGGGTCCACAGTTTTTTCAAATTGCACCCCAAAAATTTGAAAAATATTTGAAGCAGTGATTAAATCTTTTTAAAGTTCAGTTATGTACATTATTTTAAAATCTTTTATTTACATTATCATTCTATATTTTAGGGCATTATATGTTTTAAAGACAACTTATTTCAAATAAACTGAAAATTTTGGCAAGACAATCAATTAGAACAAACTGTGAAATTAAAATATGATTTTGAAATTATTATTTCATGAAATTAACTATAATTATTCAAGGACTATAGCTTCATGTAACAAAGAAAGAAAATGTTTTTCTTCTTCATTCTTCCAGGAAAAAAAGCAAAATCTCNATCTTAAATATAAAGACAGGTGATAAAATTTATATATTTTATTTTATGTTCAAAGGTATTTTTACTTTAAATAACATTCACAGAAGCCAAAATAAGCCTTTCATATGGTTAAATATGTCAAGAAAGTTTCAGCCATACATAAGGAAATAGCAAGAGAAAATAACTGCAGACTAGTTTATAAAAGAAACTCTGATCTACTCTACTCAAGAATGCTAAAGATCCAAATGATCCTAAACATCTCCCCAGGGTCTACATCATCCATGTATTGGTTAATAGAGTTGGTAGTAAGTTGGAAAGAGCATAGGAACAACAGCATGTTCCTTGAACAAACTGCTTACATATAACATATATTTTAAAAAAGTTAAGAATCTATTAAAAAGGGCCTTCTACAGTGGCTTTAGTAGCATACAGCACCAACCATAAAGTGCAGGTCTATGTAGACAGAGCACATCTACTCCATCATATTTGATACAAAATCCAAGTAAAACACCTGGAGATCATTCAAATTTATAAGGTTAGTAGAAATGTGTCAGCTATAAATTATATAGAAATGAACACAATTTCACAAGTGTAGAAATTTATTTTTGAAACAAAGTAACAAATTTTTTAATACACAAGTGATGCAAATGGCAACTTCCAATCTAACAATTATTCTTTTTAATCAAATGTATATATTCTATTTTATGTCTGATGGTAAAATTTATTATAAATCTGATGATGGCCAATAAAGTTATTTGAAAACATTAAAGTATTCTTTTTTGCTGGATTTTTCATATTGTGGTGATTTTACTTACAAAATGTTAAGTTATTAACTAAAAAATCATTTAAGTTTACATTTTTGGTGTGAGGCAAGAAAAGTGAAAGTTGGAAAGTGGTAACACTAATCACTTTTAAGTATCCTTTAATCAAGTTGTAGAAATCTAGCAACACAAGATTGTCATCCAAAGTCAACATTGAATATAAAATCAAGGAGTTCAGGTACAGTACATTGATCAGACTGAAACTGAATAAATGAGACGGGAATTGGAATAGATTAAAAATAATTTCATTGGGAATAGACAAATGATGTATATTCTTTTTCAATTATTTCAATCTGTCATCATGCTTGAAAAATACAGAACAATAAATCAGTAATTTTCTTTAAAATGAAAATTTCAAAATTGTGAAGCAGTTAATTTCCACAAAAAATGATATGAATGATTTGAAAGCTGATAAAAAAAAAAAAAAATGGCAGATTCTTCCATACAGCTAAAACCCAAATAATTAACACAAGGTCCATTTAAATAGATCATAAATTAAAAATACTGGTATTCTTCAAAATATTGAAAAAACTTTGTAAAAAGTCGAGACATTCTGAACAAAAAATTTCAACATTTATATTAAAGTGTAAGGAATAAAGATATCACAGAATTTATTACAAACCAACCTATTCAAGTTAAATAAAAGTCATAAAATAAATTATCTTCCTATTTCACTTATATTTCCAAGCATGATCAATCAACCATAAGATTTGGTGATAATCTCCATTAATCCATTGGATTATTGTGTAATTTTTAAGTGATTTGTTGTATGTTTACTAAGATCACTTCCATTGCAAATTTTAAGTTTTTTTTTTAATCTTCTTAAAAGACAAGCAATTGTCAGCAAACCAATGGAATAAAAATATTTTCTTCTGGTAAGAAATTGAATTTTCAGTTAGAATCATTTTTAAATTCCATAGTCAACCACTTAACTATAACCAAATTGATATGTATCAAATTAATTATTAGTCCTAATATCACCCAACAGATAATATTTGTCGTCTTAGTGCCCACAAAGCAAAAAGAATTAAAAATAAAAATAAAATATCCTTTCTATTTTCTTTATAAACTACAAGAGTCCAATTAAAGATTTTTCAATGAGAGCTGATCAAGTTAATTAAACAATCAACTACAGTAAGTAGGATTAAAAAAACCATAATGTCAATCATAGAAGGCATAGAAATGATGATACAATTCCAATTGCTACAAATCAATGATATAAATGAAGTAAATTTTAAAAATATAAAGAGTGATTACATATATTGTACACACAATTATTTACAATATATTAATATATAAAACATACAGAGTTATAAACAGATAAAGAAGTTTCATTTGCACACAACAAATTAAATTTTCTCAAATATGTAATAAGGAGAAAAACATTTTAAATATGATCTTCACCATATAAAATTAATTCCAGTTTCATTTTCATAGGTATTATACATACATATTGAACTCTCTCCACTATACAAGCTAGAGATCATATTTATATTTTTAATTTAGAATGATTTTTCTCTTTCTAGAATTTAAAATCATTACGGCTATAAGTTATGATTAATCATATAATAGAGAATAGTATTTAAGATGGTATATTTACAAAAGAGGAACTCAAACCTATAGTTTTTTAATTTAAAAATACAGTAGAACCTCGAAAACTCGGCTCTCGATAACCCGGCACTCCGGATAACTCGGCCACACCCTGGCAGGGCAAAAAAATCCTTAGTTAATTAATTTTCATTATAGACAGCTTTATAAAAGTATAAAAGCTCTCATAAAGTATTTTTCTGAGGTCTGTCTTATCAGGTAAATTACTGTACACAGTGTATTCATTAATTTTCATTTTCATGTAGTAAAGGCTCTATGCCTTCTTAAAGGGCGTACTTTTCCTTTGTTTAAGGGTATTTGAGCAGTTTATTCTCTGTTATATTCTCAAGTAAACAATACATACAAGTACAGTACAGTATTTTCTGAGGAAACACTCGTATTTATTTTTTTAACCCCATTTCCGATAACCCGGCATTTTCACAAACTCGGCCACCCTTCGGTCCACATTAGGCCGAGTTTTTGAGGTTCTACTGTATTACCATACTCAATAAAACTTCCTTTCAGAATCTGTTAAAAGTTTAATAAAACTTCTTATCTGTGATTAATGATTTATTAAATACAATTTTTTTCAAAGAATTGTTTAAAATGTACAAAAACTAATTTTGAAAAAATAAATCCATAGATTTGAATAGCTCCACAAGTCTGACCTTCTTCTAGCAGATTTAAAAAAACAGATCAATGGTGAGTCTTTCTGAATGCGTATGGTATATCTGAGAATACAAGTACAAATCTAGAGTATTCAGTCTTTAGAAATATTTCATAAAAATGAAAAGATATATTTCTAAAACTTTATTTTAATACTTAATTATATTCAAAACTATATTTCTCTAAATATTTTTAAACTTTGTAGACTGCATTTCATAGATACACTACTCAAGGACCTTATAAACTGCAGTCAAAATATTTTTTAAAATATGTAATCTATTATTACTTGTCAAAAATTATTCTAAATTTTTAACATCTCTGCAGATAAATGACAATAAATATCTATAAATGAAATAAAAAAAAAAATTCAAATCAGCCAACTATATGTTTAAAAACAAATGAACTTTTAAAATAGCAAAATATTCATATTTATATTAATAAAAATTTATGTAGTACAGTATATACTTTAAAAGACACTTCTAAAACTTAAAAGATAACTCATTTAAAAAATTTAACTGCATATTTTTGTTGTTATTAATCATTCAAGAATATTTATTAAAATATGCATATTTTGTATCATTTAAATTTTTGGTATTCAAAAATATTCAAACATCTTTTTCACATAATCAACATATTGCTTTTTATACTTTCATTTTGAAATAATTTAATTAATTTTTTAGACAATTTTAAAATATTTTATTTTTTAAATTCTTTTGTGAACAATAATATTTATTTATTGTATGAAATGTATAGTAATGATAATAATTTAATTATTTTATTAAAAGCAGATTTTCTTATTAGAATGTTTTAATAATTAAGATAATCATCATCATCAGATATAATAAAAAA